AGTCCATGCTAAAACAACATTTTGAAGTATTTCTAGGAACCCCTCATGTCCTTACAATATCTGAGCATAATATGGAAGGCCTAGTCTGCCAAAAATGGCCAGATTTCTTACATTCACACAATGACAAAAAGGCTCTTTAACAGAAAAAAATCAGTTCCACATCTTAGAGAGCAGCAAAGGAACACTAAGTAAGATACAAAGATTGGGAAAAAAAAGTAAAAGTATATATAAACCATCATGACCAGGAGACAAACACTGTACAAGAATGAGAATGAGGCTGCAGACAGAGAGGGAGGAAGCCCAAGAGAGATGAAGAAAATGGGATTGGATGCAATTCAGTCTTAGTGAAAGCCTTTTGATGTCTCACAGGTCTGTCCCAAAACCATAGATTTAAGACAGAGGCCTGCTGCTTCTTTTAACTAGCAAGTTAATTAAACTTTGATACTGAAAGAAATTTAGAAACATAAATATTATAATCTCAAAATTAGTTTTAATACTACCCTCTGCAGAGAAGTAGAGATCCCAATAAAACACTAATCTTCAACCTAGCTTAATTCCTACTTGCCTGCTTCAGCTTTAGGCACTTGCCCTTGCTCAGGCACATTTTTCATCTTTTGACTAATCCCAGCTACTTCCTTCTGTAGCTGATCTGTACTCACAGACTGCATTCACAGTACAGTACAAAAAAAATTGCTGGTTTCTCCTCATAATTATCTGCTGTGAGTGATGCAAGTGATAAAGGGACAAAGGACACATTCATGTCTCTACACACTATATCAACTCCCCTAAATTAGGAAAATACTCTCTCTCCTCCCACATAAAATGAGTGCTTTTGATTTTTCAAGGAAATGAGGAAAAAAGAGGGCTATGAAAGTCACGGAAAAAATGTAAGACAGTTAAGCAGAAACGAATGTACGTTTTTCAGTCTCTGCTGTTGTAATTTAAAATCATCCATCCCCCCCAAAAAAAGTACAGTACAGAATTGTACTGAATTAGATATTACCCCCTCAGGTATCAGACAAAGAGGAAAGGGAAATCTATAACAGAGGCAAACACCCTACAATGCAGAAGAGAGATGAGGGAAGCAGGATTCGGATTTTACTTTTATTGTCCATATGAAGAAAACACAGATGCAAAAACATAAGAGAGAATGAGCTACAGAAGGAAAAACACATTCAATCTCAAGAAGAAACCTCTTCTTCTAGAAGCCCTCAATAAAGCCAGAAAAACACGTGATCTTGCATGTATTTTCCTCCAACTGCCAATTGCATAAGGTGTGTAAAAGTTGCCCAGGTGCAAATTCAGTCTATCTGACTTTGAGAATGCTCCTCACTCTACCAGGATGAATGCTCAAAAATTACTGTTTTATGCCAAATCTTATTTTCTCCACCATTGTTTTGCCCCTCTTGCACTTTTGATAAAGCCAGGTGTTCGCCCTGAATGCTGTTATGCACACAGACTGCACAAACACACCCTGAGAAAGAAAATCCACTGGGCAACACAGTAGGGAAGGAAAAGTATTTCACCTGAAGGAAGGTGAAAAGATGGTAGCAAATTATTTTTTTTCTAATCCACTATATAAAGTGGATTAATAATTCCTAATTCCAAACAGATGTGGACCTTCAGATTAAAATCTCTCCTGTGAAATTTTACATTCACAAGCCTTACACATGAAGTAATTCATAATAATAATGTCTGGCTCACCCATAAACACCTCAATCAGTCATATTAGATTTGGTACTAATCCAGTATTTCTTAGAAAATCTATGGAAAATTTACTTTCCCGTGACATAAAATCCAGTTGTAACTTCCATTTATCTCTGAGGAGTTCAACTCAGATGACTGATTCAATCAGAATCGGTCAGATTAGAAAGAGATTTATTTGATGAAAGAGTAAAATGAAGAAAATAGTTTAACTATTGGGAGAAAACAAACTGAAGTGTGCTTAGATTTATTTTGTGCATTTAATTTATTTTGTGCATTTAGATTTATTTTGTGAGCCCCCAGTGTTGAAAGCTGACCATCCCTGCTAAAGGGCTGGCTATTATTGGAGGACTAATATTGCATGTTCATCTGTACTGGCTGCTAAGGATATAACCCAATTACTGAGAGCAACTGGCAATAAAGGTCCCTGGAAAAAGAAACAAAAGGTTCATCTACATTTTTCTTTGTGTGCTGCCAAAGCTCCAACAATAGTCCTAATTCCCCCTAACATGATTCCAGCTGCTTATGTTTTCTGTAGGCTAATGCACAGGATTCTTTTCCTCTTGGAGGAAGCAATCCTGTTGTAATTTGATGGGCATCTCTCTCAGCATCAGTACTTGATTTAGCAGGTCATCCCATTCTCCTCTTCCCTCTGCATTCATTCCTCTCCTTATGCTGACTTTTAGGCAAAGGTAAAACCGTTCACTGGGAAGTACTGTGAATCAGATGATGAAACCAATCTTGTTACAGACAGCAACAACCCCTCCTCGGTTATTTTTAACTGAGGTTAGTTTCCTACCATGCTGTGACAGTATGAACAGTTGCACAGCTGAGAGCCAGAACACGGGCAGGAATGGCAGAGGGAGATGTAGGACTGTCTTGCCGAGAGATGAGCACATCAAATACCACCCTTAGTAACCCCAGGTCACTGCAGACTTAATAACAAGCAAGAGAAAATGAAATTCAAGCACGAAGTGAGGCTGTGGGCCCCCGACAGTCACTGTTTCCAGGCAGGACATCACTGTGTATAGGGTAACGCACAGCAACCTGCCACTCAAATTTAACTATGTACAGTGGGGCACCCTGAAGAGATTTTGCACTGCTCAAGGCCCCTTGCTGTCTGCCCCTTTCTCCCCTAGTGCAACCTCCTCTCACAGCAAGACCAGTTCTGCACTCAGACCAGGTCCCTGAAGGCTGCATCCAGTTGGGGCTTGAAAAGTTCTATGGAAAGAGGCTGTATGACCCCGCTGGGCAACCTGTGGGACTGCCCATGTTCATGGAGAAACAGATCTACCTCATATTCAGTCTGAACCTCTGTTTCAATTTATGTCACTTATCTCTTGTCTTCCCACCCTTCACAGAATCACAGAATGGCTGCAGCTGGAAGGGACTGCTGGAGGTCAGCTGGTCCAACCTCCCTTCCTCTAGGGAAGGAGATTCCACAACCATTCTGAGCAACATCTTCCAGTGCTCAGTCACCTACACAGTAAAGAAATTCTCCCTCGTGTTAAGGTGGAGCTTGCTGTGCAATAATTTCTGCCCAAAGCCTCTTGTCCCATTGCTCAGCACCACCAGGAAGAGCCTGGTCCATCCTCTTGACACCCTCCCTTCAGATACTATTGACATTTATAAGGTCCCCTCTCATTGCATCTTCTCAAGGCTGAATAGACCCAGTTCCCTCAGCCTGTCCTTGTAAGAGAGATGTTCCAGTCCCATCATCATCTTTGTCACCCTCTGCTGGACCTGCTCCATTATCTCTGTGTCTGTCTTGTCCTGAGGAGCCCAGAACTGGACACAGCACCCCAGATGTGCCTCACCAGGGCTGAGTAAAGCGGCAGGATCCCTCTCTCAACCTGCTAGCAATGCTCTTTCCAATGCAGCCCAGGACACCACTGACCTTCTTTGCCACAAAGACACTTTTCTGGCTCATGGAGAGCTCGTTGTCCAGTAGGACCCCCAGGTCCTTCTCTACAGAGCTGCTTCTCAGCAGGTCAGCACCCAGCCAGTTGCAGGGGGTTATCTCTCCCCAGGTACATGGTCCTTCACTTGCCTTTTCTGAATTTTAGAAGGTTCTTTTGTGCCCATTTTTCCAATCTCCGTCAAGGTCCTTCTGAAGGGCTCACAGCCCTCTAGGTTATCAGCCACTCCTGCCAGCTTTGTGCCAGCAGTGAACTTGCTGAGGAGGTATCTGCCCGTTCATCCAAGCCACTGATGAGTAAGTTAAAACAATACTGGACTCAGTACTAGTGACAGGCCTCCAAATAGAGGTACAAGGCACTTCTGCAAAAAGCCTGGCTCTGACATCTCAATACACTTTGTGCATCTAGACAGGCTGATACTGGGTCCCTCACAGCCCTTTCTTTTCCCGGCTGAACAAGCACAGCCCCCTCAGCTTCTCTTCACTGGGGAAGCACTTCAGCTCTTGACCATCTTAGTGGCCCTTTGCAGAATGCGGTCCAGTTTATCCATGTCTTGTATTAAGGGAGCAGAAACTGGATTTCTAGATGTGGTTTAACAACTGCCCGTTTGAAAGTGATAATCACTTCTCTCAATTTACCAGCTCTGCTTCTGCTACTAAAGGTCCAGGATGCTGTTAGAATTCTGTGTCGGGACATACCACTGTCTAACATCTAGCTTATTGTCCTCAAGGATTCCCAAATCCTCTGCCACTGACCTGACCCCCAGTCAGTCAGTCCTCAGCCTGTAATAAGTGAATGTCCTCATCTCTGAGCTGGGTGCTGGACTGCACGGCCTTTCTGAGTGGGAAAACATGAGCAGGCACCAAGGACAAAGTGGTGAGATCAGGATGAGATGCTGAAAATGTTTTGCCTCATCCGACACAAGCCCACAGACGCTGTGACTGGAAGGAGGTGTAAAGATATACTGAGATGGCATCAGTTCACAGCTCCCAAGCTCCCTATCTGGAACACATTCAGCTCTGGGGAGAATTTAGAACATGTCAGAGGGATTTATGAACTGCTTCACACTAAGCATCTTGTGATGCAGACAGGTGTATGTAGGAGTCCACATTTAAGAGGGCTGTATTTGAAATACTTTTTGGGAGACGTCTCCCCCTCCTCCAGCCCTTTTGGATCCAGAGAAGTCCCACCAAATATACACTTTAAAGATGGAAGAGGCAGAGGAGATTCAAGGAGCAGGAGGGCGAGAGGTTTCAGAGAACAGTGGGAGAGCTGGAAGGACAGCATCATTTCAGAAGAGAGGAGAGATGGAGGTTTAGTCACCTGTGCTGAAATAGTGCAAGGAAGAGCAGAACAGAAAAAAGCTGCCAGAGAGACCTTCAACTCTACTCCTCAAAAAACCCTTTCAGACACAGACCAAGAATACTTCTGAAAGCCCTATTAGTAAACCGAGCAAGCACTCTATAATCATTGATACAACATTTCTGTGAGGTAAAGAAAACAAACACCTGCCAGAGACAGGCTACTCACCACTAGCCTGGTTTCCAAACATTTACCATAGATAACTTGCTTTTAAGTAAAGCAAGCACCGAACTGCCTGGAAATCAGATGGCCAGTGCCAGATGCCACCCAGCAGAAGAGCTTGTCATCATAGAATAAAATACATACAAGCCAAGAAGCCAAGTGAGATATTGCCTAAATTAGTCAGTCAGAGAGTCAAGGAGCGGAACAGCTGCCATGTTCATGATTTGATTCCCAAAGAGAAATCTCTGCTAGGATTTCCTAGCCTAACTCTTGCAGAGTTGGACACCAAAGCCTTTTATCCCCATTTAATCATGAGAAGATGTGACTGATATTTCCCTGCTTTAAAAACTTTACAGACCACCAGTGCTCAGTAGCTGATCAGAGAATCATGGAATGGCTGAGGCTGGAAGGGAACTCCATGCTAAAGCAGGGACAGCTACAGCAAATGGTCAAGATCAATATGGAGCCATTTTAAGCCATTTTACACTTCCATTAAAAGAACTAGAACTAACAACACACATTATTCTTACAGGAAATGCAATGTAAACGTGTAAGACCAGATATAACAAAACCATTGGAAGGTATTTTGCATAAAATATGATGGTAAATAAACTCCCAACTCAGCAATACAAGCTAATAGCAACAAGTCCTAGTTTCTGAATTTTTATGGACTGCAGGTTAAAAGGCACAACAGCTAAAGTAATATTCTGAACAGGGGCCCTAAAATTATAGTGTTTCAGCAAAGATCCAAAATTCTGCTAGATTGAGATGTAATTGACTGGAGAAACACCATTTTCATACTGAAAAAAAACCAAAAAAACAGCCCAAACCCTATGAAAATTAATAAAAGTTTTAAATAATAATAGTGGTTTTGCAACATAAATTTATCTCATGGCTCAAAACATCAAAATTCTTGGGCTAAAGCAGAGACCTCTGAACACAGCAGATGAAACATCAGAGGTTATTAAAACAATTCATATTGCAGGGTGGATAGCATATATCCTGTACACAAGTATTAATATTTAATGTAATATATTGTAATTTGCTTTTACTTCAACATCCTATAATGGCCTTAGGTTCCAATTTCACTCTCCAATGATGGAAATGATTGTATAGCTGAGGTATTGCCGTTTATATGGAAAAGGACTGCTGAAGTCTACTGGAGTTTTGAATTGCCAAGGAGGATGGGAAAAGACTTCAGATCCCAGTCTGCCAAACCATGGCTGAGTACTTAAAGATAGGCAGCTCTTCAGCTGAGCAATAAATACAATGAGGTCCTAACAACGGAACATAAGAAATCAATATTAAAATTGTTAAAAAATAAGACTTGCCTCAAAAAAAGTCAAAGCCAGTAAGGGAATCTGTTCAGAGAAAATCTGCAGGAGGAAAGGTCCTAACATAATCCTGGCCTGGACCTACTATTCCTTGGGAATGGACAAACTACTTATTCTAGCACAAACCTGAGGTGCCCCAATATAGCTTCAAAGAGGATGCAACTGCAGTGAAGTAAGAGCAAAGCACAGATTCCTGTTACTCAGTCAGTCTTGGCATTTGACGTCCTACCATTGGGCAGCACATTCTTGCAAGGGCCTGCTGGAGTAAGGACACAAAAACCCTTCTCCATATATATTGGATGGTGCTTTACTAAAACAAAAATGTGTTTTTGGACTTCTCTGCCCTCTCAAGAGCTTTCAGACAGAACGCTACAGCCCCACATCTACACTGCACAGGACAATTTGCCAGAACTACTTGAATTCTGCCTCACTGGTGCTGTCGGAGGCACCATTTACTTGTGTATCACCATTACAAGTCTGACTTGAGCTGAGTGAACTGTCATAATGGAGGTGTTAACACAGAAGTAGAAAACAGATTACAGCAACAGGAAGGGCTAAGAGAAAATTCTACTTTGCAGGGTGCTCGTGCAGTGTGGTTTCTGCTATAAAGGTTAAAAGCAAGAAAAAGGTGGGGGACGGAAATGCCCTACCTGCTGCTAAGGAGAGCTCTGGAATTGAGAACCCTGCATCTGGATCGGAAACTGGAGAAGCTCCACTCTCGCTTGGCATCAGGCAAGCTACGTGACTTCTCCTGTTCCTCTCTCTGTGCATATCCCCTCAGTATCCATGCTGTGGCTGGCACAGCATGAAAGCATGGCCCCACAGGAGATATTCTGGGCTGCACAGCGTGCAATCCCACTGACTTCAAGGAAGAGAGCTTGTGCCCATCTTTCATTTCAATTAATTGCATTGACTAATCCCTCTAGTTTCATAATTTCAACTCAATTCCTTGCACTATCTCTTGTATCTGTGGCCACCTGCACCCGTGTGCCATCCTGGTTTCTCATCAGTCTTCTTTTGCACATGATTGTGGTGGGATAACAGCTAGCTGCAGCTTTGCTTTACCTCCATCTTTTTCTTCTTCTTTTTATTTTTCCCTAGAAACTGTATTTCACTTTCCCCCTTTTAATTCTGTTCCTCTATTACTGTCAGGCAATTTCAAACAGCACTGCCTTCATGCCAGTGCCAAGTTATGTATCTCTATCCCTTATTCTGTGACTACTGGTTTCAAAAGTCCTGAGCCTACTCCACAGGCTCAGGGGGGCAGGGAGGCAGAGATCAAGTTTAAGGAGATCAATAGGTTTTTCTGAAAAACAGCTTTATTCTTCGTATTGAAAATATAATGTTCTCAACTCTTCTGGACACTGAATCAAGTCTGTAGCATAACTCATTTACCTGCAAGTAAAATGAAACCTTTATTTTATTAAAAATGCTTCTAAAAGGGCATCAGTTAGTATTCTTAAGAATATAAACATAAATAATCTAAGTTTTTTAAAGTGGATTCCCTCCGTATGGAATATATTCATGGTTTGTAATAGAAATGTCATTAGTTCTAACAGAATTTCTGTGCATTCTATGTAACAGGGGATTTTTTGTTTTGTTTTGGGGTTTTTTTTGTAGAACAAAAAGATACATTCTAAATTTGGGAGGATATCTGCTGGATGCTTTACCTTCTGTTTACAAAACAGAAGTACAAAAGTCAGTTACATTCTGAGATGTATATAAACAGCATGAAATGCAGAGCTGTGAGTTCTGCATACTGTGCACACACAGCCCTTCCATAGCTCCCATTTACGTGCACTGTTATCAGTCTCAAGTTACTTCCCTTAAGGGTGAACATAGGGAGGGTGATGATTTTCAGACTCATGTTTAGCAGAGCTGAAAGGTAAGGTGTAACACCCACCTACTTCATACTTTGAGCGTTACAAAAACGCATTTGAAAGATAACCCCAAATCACCCCTCCAATCAAATATTTCACCCTTTCAGCATGACGCAGAAGTTTAATTTTCACTGATGAGGGACCTCGAGAGTGTTGTATACACTCCCTCCCAATGGCAGCGGTTCCCCTCAGTGCCAGAATAAAGCGGGTCTATAAATAACTTCAAAAGAATTGTCTCTCTCCTCACGCACTGCAGACAGCTGTTTACAGAGATCCCGACTCCTTATGCACTGTGTTAGCCCAGCTCTCATCCTACTGTTTCCTTAGCTCTTCCTAAAAGAGCCTTGGGCGATGCGCTGCAGTAACGACCGGGGGAACCGTCCACTGCCGCAAACGCCGGTTCCCGCAAGCTGAGGCTGCCACCGGCAGAAGCCGAAGCGCGGCCCCGCGGAAATTTCACAGGACAAGGGGGTTGCGATCTCGTGTAATCCGTCCTTAAGCTCCATGGTCCCGCTGATCCTCGGTCCCGGAAAACCCCTCCTCCCCACCCCGGAGCCCGCAGCCGCTCAGGGGCCCGCGCAGCGCATCCCCGCTCGCCCACCTGCGGGGGCTGCGCGGACCGGGCAGGGACACGCGTGGGGCGCCCCGCACTGCCCGCAGCCCCCGGCGGCAGGGCCAGACAAAAGCCCGGGCTAGCTCACCTCCTTCAGCTGCTCCAGCTCCTGCTTGAGGCCGTCATACTCCGCCTCCAGCTCATCGTACTGCTGCTTGAGGGTGAGCTTCTCCTCCAGCACCACCAGCCCGTACTCCGCCGCCTGGATCTTCTCGTGGGTCGTCTCGGAGAGCTCCCGGGTCAGCCGCTCGATCTCGCTCTTGTAGTGGTCTGCGCCCTGCAGCACCTCCTCCGCAGCCATAGCCCCGCCGGCACTGCCGCGCCGCCGAGCAGGCGGCCGGGGGGCGGGCGCGGCCCAGGGGCGGCACCGGCACGGCCCGGGGCGGCGGTGGCGAGCACGGCGATGGGGATGGGGGTCGGGGCCGCCTGCGGCGGCAGCCGCCGAGTGCGGTCCGCCCCACCGCAGCCGCGGCCCCTTCCTCCCCCGCCGGCCGCCCGGACGCGGCGAGGCCGCGCTCGCCTCCCCCGGCCCTGCGGCGGCCCCGGCGGCGGGGGCGCTGGGCTGGCGAGCGGGCGGGCAAGCCCCGCTGCCTGGGGCGGCGGCGGCGCGCTAGAGACCGGGGCGGCGAGCGGGGCGTCCGGGAGCGCGCCTTCGTGCGGCGGCTCCCGCGGAGATGCTGCTGCTGGCGCCCGCCTCCTCCCGCGGCGCCGGCACCGCCGCCTCCCTTCCACACGGTCCCTCCCCTGCGCTCTTTAAGATGACAGCGGCCTCAGGGCTGGCATTGCCGCCGGGCGGGAGAGGAAGCGGCAGCGGCAGAGCTGTCGGAGCGGTGCGGAGCCGGCCCCGGCGCGCCGGGATGTCGGCGCTGCGCCTGCGGAGCTGCTCCCGCCCGGGCCCCCTCCCTGCCGGTCCCCTCCCGCCCCTCCGCCGCCGTGTCAGCGCCTCTCGGTTCTGCTCAGCCTGCTGCAGCCATGGCCGCAGCGGCGGCGGCGCGGCTCTAAGTGAATACGGAGATGCAACCCAGCAAACTGCGGGAGCGGGGGGGCGGCCGCAAGTATTCTCCTGCTATTTCGGGAAACTGAAACAGCAGAGTTACCTGCTCTGTTCCGTGTCTCCGGGGAATGAGTGCGTTTTGGTATGGTCAAGGCAACCTGAACGCAAAATAGCAGCGGGGTCGGGGCATTGGGCTAGGACTGCTCTTCCATCACCATTAGCACAAGGTCTCAGTGCCACTGATTAGACAGCAGGACAAAACTGATTCAGCTCAGATGCGGTCACACCATTGTTTCTCTGTCAAATTAACCGGAGGACGTGATGCATAGATTATGTCAGTTTTATGCTGGCTTTATGCTGGCTGCAGAAAGACAGATGCTACTTGTCCAGCATAAAATTGGAGTGGTGCAGACAGACAGTAACTGATCTCTTACAAAGCCTGCCAGTAAAACGTTAACACACCAGATTAGGCGCATTTTACATATTTGAACTGGAAGAATGAGTTCATCCTGGATCAATGTCATAGACCTTTTTTTTTTTACTCGGAGTCTTAAACTCCAATTTACTGTTTCTTCAAACTGTGGCCTGCAAATAGACTTGAATTGATATTTTTGCTCTAAGTACTAGCAGGACCTGTTTTTCACGTTTTACAGACTCTTAAAATTTTTAAATACTTCCTTAAAGGCTGACAATTGAGTTAGAATTTCCAAATGGAGATGTTTGTTTGAAATAGAAGTTACCTGTAAGAAGATGGATGTCACTGCCCACCAGTGCAGCACTGTATTGGAAATCAAAGACATAGATTCTCTTTCTTGCTGACCTGATAATGTGGTTTTAAACATGCCACATCCCCTTTCTACCATGGTTTCCCCATGACTAAGAAATAGGTAAAAATTATTAGCTCTGCTCAGCAAAGTTATTTGAGATCTGCAAATGAAAGCACTAACTAGTTATACAATACATGCATACAGTATATGGCATATATAAATTTTATAAATATATGTGCATGCATAAGCAACTAATGCATTGTAATCCAGCCTGCACAAACACTTCTCATTGCCTAGAGAGCATACATGGAAGAAGTAAGCAAAGTAATTGAAGTTCTGTCAATTTTTATCTTGAAAAACACTTCCAAAATGCACATTTTTAATAAATTCTACTGTAGAAGCAAGTGTGAATATTAATAGGTAAGAAACAAGTGTGCATATTAATAGGTGAGAAGAGTGAGTGGCTCTCATCGATGACTGAATGTCAAAAGAGAGAACACCAGTATCCCAACTGTAATTCCCATGATACAGCTAACCTCAACATCCTTTTCTTAAAATATGATGAGAGATTCCACAATTCAGAAGGGAAACAAAAGCCCAAAATTCAAAGGATAAGCAAAATGTTGTCTCAAGAGCTTTTATAAGTTCTAGTCTAGTTGTCTTTCTCAGCTTTGCACCTAGGCCACTGTGCAAGGAAATGTTTATTGAGTACAGGAATGGATCAGAAAACAAACATCTTTGAGACCAATGCTAAAGATGAGTGGTTGGGTCAAGGATGGTGTGGAAACTGGCTGAAGCAACAGAATGCCTACAGCTAATCAAGCCTTGGTGTAACTCCACTTAACACCATTTGGTTGACAATCTCACTCAAAAGCCAAGGACAGCCTCACCACATGTCTGAACATCTGCAGCCCAGAGGGGAAATATGGCATTTTGCAATGTGTTAGTTTTTCTGCAACCCGTCAAAAGAAGGTGCAGTGTGAAGGGCAGGTGTGGTGCCCTGTGCAGCAGTGACTGTGAGGTCCTCAAGCTACTCTGCATTGAAAACACCAAGATGCCCCTGATTTGCTGTGACTGGTGCCCATTTATCCCTCTTCTTGCCTCCTAAATGTAAGCAATATCAAACCTGGCTTCTTTGATGATATTTGTCTTTATTTTAAAAGTATACTTCTTTAAAAGTCTTCTTTTGAAAAGTCCCGAGTTGTTAGGGGTCTTCTGTTGCCAATTGTCCGTTTCTTTGCACTGACTACACCTGGGCTGGGCAGCACACACATGGATACATTCAGAAATATATATTTAATTGAGTGAATCCAAATCCCACCTTTCACTTCTCTATCTTTTCTTAGGCCTAAAATCCAGCACCTACATTCTGTTGTCAAGGTCCTCCATCTGTATTTATAATGGACTAC